AGTTCTGCTGGTTAGTTGCTTTCACTATAGTTTTTGATGCACTCTCATTTTTCTTTGTCGCGGAGTCCATGGTTTCCTTCGGTGAGTCTCCTCGATTTTTCACCCAAACTTGCTTCACTGGTGGTGACATTTCTTTAGTACCCCTTACTGTTGGAGTGTTTATTTTGCTTTGAATTTTTTCTCTATGACCTGATAAACCCCAAGGCAGGGTTTAGGATCAAAGCAGCGCAGTCAAGAGGTCAATAACCTCGAATTGATATCTCAATCAAGAACTTACACAAAAACAGGGGGGTTTGTGATTTGGATGGGAAGTTTTCGTGCAACTTTCACAAGGGAAAGAGGCTCGAAACCTATAGGTCGATGCTTGGCCACGATCAGGGTGATGAACCGATCGATACAAGCTCACGATTGCTTAGACTCGACCAAGCAATCCAACTCAATTCCTCACGCAACTAGCGAGATGAACCAAAGCTCCACTTTGTATTCAATTGATCACAAACTAACTATTACAACGAATCAACTCCACTTAAATAGACCTAGCAATTCCTAACAACGTTTAATTAAGTTCAATTACAATTCTACTTGGAAAAGGAATCAAAGCAAGACGGGGAAACTAATTAAGCTAAACTGTATACTAATCCTAATCCGACTAGGATTCTGATTACTTATGCTTCCTGGCAGCATCTTCAGTCTCGAAGCGATCTTTAGCCATCTCGTTCGAGCCCTTGTAGACATCATCTTGATCAGCCAACACCTTGTCGATAAATTAGAAGAAACCTGCTTTCGTGTGGTGTGAATGTGGAGTCTCGACGCATTCCCATCTTCCTCAACCCGAGCCTCAAAGATCCCTTCCCAACACGGCTTCCATACTTAGAAAAATCTGGCAGTTCCTCCAGTGTCGAGCTAGCATTTTGATCACCTTGGAAACCCAGCCTCTCGACTTCTCCTTGAGCTCCAAAGCATACTGATTGATTTAGCAGCTCTTCTTTTCCAACACCAACCAAAGAACTCAAGTTTCTATCACACCAATGGAGACTTATGCTCGTCCAAAGTGAGTACCTGAAATAGTCATAAACACTTAGACAAAAATCAAAGTTCTTAACTTTGCCTAGCTTGCCTCTATGATCGATCAATTCCAATCGTTTGAAACCCCAAATTGAGATCATATCAGTCCCTCCCCCATAAAAAAGCTTTGACCTCAAAGCTTTGGCCTTCCGTGTCTCGTATTCGTCACAGAATCGTTCCCAAATCGAATCGGAAAAGGGTAGCCTCAACGAACAATTCTGGCCAGCGTCATCAGTGTTCTTCAGGCTCGAGATTGGGGCTTTTCCCTTCAGTAATCTACCACTCAATTCATGGCCACCATTAGCTTCGCCTGACTTCGAATTGAGGGTTTGGACCGGTGCTTCCCTTCGAATCATTGAGTTTGCCTTTGAATCGTGACTTCCCAATTTCCCGCCACTGTCGTCATTTGAACTCGTCGAACCCAGGAAGGGTAAGTCAGATTTGGGGGTTTCGAATTCAAGCACCTCCAGTCGAATTGATTCATTCGTACAGCTTCCTGGGTCAATGATGATGGGTTCTGCATCAACCGTTTGGGTCGAATCGTCGCCAATGAGTCCACCCAATAAGCTCGATTTTTCTTCGCATTGTGCCGTTTCCAGAGCACTTTTGGGTCGAATTGGTTCTAGTGATTCAGGTAATTTCGTCCCAATTGAAGGCGTCGTCAAGCTTCCTGGGGAGATTTGGAACGTATCCTCAGTTTCGGCGAGGCTCGCCTCTTCACGGATCGCCCCACCCAATTCCACCTCTCTCCTGCTCTGTTTTGCCGACGTTGGACAGGGTCGTCGCCGACGAGGAGCCCTGAACTTCTTGTACCCCGTAAGCATCAGCTTACGAAGCACGTTGTTGCTTCCGCGAGGGTCTGCAGGTTCTTCTCCAAGAGCGTCCTTCCTTGATCGTCGCTGATTAGCCTCCATCTGCCGCCGATCATCCCTAACTTCTTCCGGCGACATTGGTTTAAGTGTATACTGCTTACCCAGATGACGAACTGTGTAGTGGTTGGTATCTCCATAATGGCAAACTCCCCTGTCGAATTGCCAAGGTCTTCCGAGCAGTATATGGGCAGCTTGCATCGGTGCCACATCTAATTCGAGCTCATCCTTATACCTACCAATTTCGAAGTTCACTTTAGCCCGCTTCGTCACTCGAATCGCTCCGTAGTCATTCAACCAATGTAAATTGTAAGGCTCAGGGTGTCGAATTGTGCTCAATCCCAGTTTGTTTACAGCATCTTGACTGATGACGTTTGTACAACTCCCGCCATCGATGATTACCGACAGAACCTTACCTTGAACCAGGCAACGGGAATGAAACAAGTTGTCTCGTTGGCTGAAATCGGGTTCATTTGCGATGGTTAGAGCCCTTCTGCTGACTCCCAGAAGATTCCCAGGTGCAGGAGCTTCCATTTCAATCTTCTCATCGACCTTCTCCTCCTCGCTGGACTCAGATTGCTCGTCGTCAGTGAGATATGCACCGTCTCTGATCACCAATGTTTTTAAATTAGGACATTGATTGGCCTTGTGGCCGCGTCCATGGCATTTGAAGCACTGTATACCACCAGATCGCTCAGCATAGGTAGGAGTAACGTTTCTGGATGGCAACTTGCCAGGATCAACTCGCAATTGCGGCGAGTTTACTTCACCATTCGCCTCTGCTGCTGGCTTGTTTCCCGGCGTGACCTTCCTGGACGATCGCTGCTGCTTCTCGATCTTAATTGCCAGGTGAAGAGCGTCTTCCAGGTCAACAAAAGCTCGTAGATCGAGCTCCTGTCGGATTTCCTTGTTCAGCCCGTGAAGAAATCGCGCGATCGTGGCTTCACGATCTTCCCGGACGTCTGCTCGCATTAGGAGGAGTTCCAGCTCTCGATAGTACTCCTCTACGCTTCGTCCACCTTGCCGGATCGCTTGCAGAGTTTCGTGAAGCTCCCTCTGAAAGTAAGTGGGCACGAAACGATCCCTCATTAGTCCCCTTAAGTCTGCCCATGTCATGATTTCAGGCTGAAGATTTTGCCGACGTCGGAGCTGTGTCTTCTCCCACCATTGCGCGGCATAATCAGTAAATTCAAAGGTGGCCAAGGCCACTTTCTGTTGCTCGGTGTATCGCTCGCACTGGAAGAATAAAACGATCTTCCTTTCCCAGTCCAGATATGCTGTAGCATTCATCGTGCCCTGAAACGTCGGCACGGCTAGCTTGATTCCCGGTGGAACTGCTGGCTCTGCGTCGTGATGATCGCGTCGTCCCCGCTGCTGGCGATCAGGATGAGGTTCGGCCACCACGAGACGACGTTCCAGTTCTTCAATTCGTCCCAGCAACTCTGGGTTGCATGCTGGGTTTATATTGCCACGAACTTCTTCCTCGCGTACTCTGTTTTCCCGCGGCGCAATCGCGTCGAATCGCTGATCGATTTCCTGTCGGAATTGGGTGAATCTTTCGTCGAACTGTCGCATCAGCTCTTGTATGTCAATCTGCTGTCCCGCCATTGTTCGATTGTCGATCCGAGTCTCAGGATTTAGCTCGTTGTCTTGCTCTGGTTCTCGCTGTTGATAAGCAGGGTCACTGGAGACGGGACCTTTTGATCGGGTCCAACGCGTTGATTCAGCACCAGATTCCGTCGTCTTGTCCACTATGCTTGAACCAGGCTCTGATACCACTTGATAAACCCCAAGGCATGGTTTAGGATAAAAGCAGCGCAGTCAAGAGGTCAATAACCTCGAATTGATATCTCAATCAAGAACTTACACAAAAACAGGGGGTTTGTGATTTGGATGGGAAGTTTTCGTGCAACTTTCACAAGGGAAAAAGGCTCGAAACCTATAGGTCGATACTTGGCCACGATCAGGGTGATGAACCGATCGATACAAGCTCACGATTGCTTAGACTCGACCAAGCAATCCAACTCAATTCCTCACGCAACTAGCGAGATGAACCAAAGCTCTAGTTTGTATTCAATTGATCAAAAACTAACTATTACAACGAATCAACTCCACTAAATAGACCTAGCAACTCCTAACAACGTTTAATTAAGTTCAATTACAATTCTACTTGGAAAAGGAATCAAAGCAAGACGGGGAAACTAATTAAGCTAAACTGTATACTAATCCTAATCCGACTAGGATTCGGATTACTTATGCTTCCTGGCAGCATCTTCAGTCTCGAAGCGATCTTTAGCCATCTCGTTCGAGCCCTTGTAGACATCATCTTGATCAGCCAACACCTTGTCGATAAATTAGAAGAAACCTGCTTTCGTGTGGTGTGAATGTGGAGGCTCGACGCATTCCCATCTTCCTCAACCCGAGCCTCAAAGATCCCTTCACAACACGGCTTCCATACTTAGAAAAATCTGGCAGTTCCTCTAGTGTCGAGCTAGCATTTTGATCACCTTGGAAACCCAGCCTCTTGACTTCTCCTTGAGCTCCAAAGCATACTGATTGATTTAGCAGCTCTTCTTGTCCAACACCAACCAAAGAACTCAAGTTTCTATCACACCAATGGAGACTTATGCTCGTCCAAAGTGAGTACCTGAAATAGTCATAAACACTTAGACAAAAATCAAATTTCTTAATTTTGCATAGCTTGCCTCTATGATCGATCAATTCCAATCGTTTGAAACCCCAAATTGAGATCATATCATCACATGTGACTCTCGGGGCCTCCCGTCGGGATTGATTCTTCGTCTCCATAGATTCGGCGACACCTTCTTCAACAAGAACTTCAAAACGAGGTCCAGATTGCATCGCCCATCTCTCTAGGCTTCCTTGTCCCGTTTTACATGCATGAGGGATCTGAACGTTCCTTCTAGGTCTCCTTTGTCTTCTAGTAGCAACAATCCATTCTCCATACGGAGTGGAGTGTTTGAGCAAAGATTCCCCCATTGCACCCTCCGTTTCTTTTACTTCCTCGAGCGTATGAAGTGATGGGCAATTTGCCTTTTGATGACCTTACTTTCCACACTCAAAGCAAATGTTTGTTAGTCCTTCCCATTGAATATCGTACTCTTTGCCCAAAATTTTGAATTGCACGAGAAGAGGCTTGGAAAGATCGACTTCCACACACACTCGAGCATACTTCCCTCTTGCTCCCAGTTTCATTGCTCTATCAAGCCTAACTAGTTTCCCCACATAAGATGCAATCCTCGTGACCGCTTCGGGATGATAGAATTCGATCGGTAAGTCAGGTAATTGGAGCCATGCAAGCGTAGCTACTATTTCAGTCTTTCTTGGGACAAAATCCTTTTTCCATTGCTGCGTCGTTATGTAATCATCTCCGAGCATCCAGGGTCCCCCGGTTAGTGCATGCTCATAGTCCTGCTTGCTGGTAAATCTGATGAAGTAGCAGCCATATGACCTGCTCGTGACTTGAATTATTCTCGTCTTTGCCTATAACATGTTAAGCCTTCTCACAACAACAAGGTACAAGAATGTTCGTCCCAGTACCTTCACAACAATAGCCGACTGCCACTCACGTCTGTATTTTTGCAGCTCTATTGTCGAGAAAGGGATAATCGACTTTTGAGGGTTTTCCGAGATAACGTCCATCTCTTCATTGTCATCTTCACATATTACTTCGACGATGTCCTCTGAATCTGAGTCCACCACATACCAAATAGTTTCCTTTAGGGTTTCACTAAAGAGTTTCTTTTTCCCTTCTCCCCACGCCACCGGTTTCTTTGGTTGCGAGGGTTGCGAGTACATATTTGTTGTCTCCTTTCGAAACTCTTGGTCACCATTATTCATCTCTTCCTCCGTGACATCCTCAACCGTCACGTCTTCCATCTCATGCTCTTCCCTTGATAGGTCAATCGCTCATACCTTGTTTTTTTGGATGTTGGGCTTCTTTTGCCTTCTTGTTGTCCGAGGATGAGGTCACTTCTGGTGGGCGTCTCACACCCGCTATGGGGTCAGCGGGCTTGGCCTCCCCAAGGTGTGGGAACCAGCCAGCGTAGCTACCGTCGACATTCAGCGTTGGCTTGCGATCACAGGCAAACCCTAGATACGATTTCCTGGCTCCGCAATTTTCGAAACTCTAACTTTTTCGATTCTCCTTGATGTTGAACCTTTGAACCTATGACATTTGGGTCTTCCTTTTATAAGATAAATGAAATGAAATAATTATTAAACTCATATTAGAATAAACAAAATATCAAATCAGAGAGTATCAAATACCAATAAAAAATATTTCATGGAGAGTTAGTGGGTTAGCTAACCTAGTAACCATGGTGAAAAAGTTCTATGATTTTTCAAATTTAAGCTTCATGTATGTTTTAGTTTTAAATTGATGGAACCATTGCCCTCTTCCTTCCCCATCTAGCCACCAATAACAACTTCTCTCCCATTTCCCCTTCGCTCCACGTGGAAAAATAAGCAAGGTGTCAGTTAATATGCTCTCCCATTTCTCATGTCATGGTGTGATGGCAACTCATTAAATCAACACCTCATACACATAGGCTTGCTTGGGTGGATATAGGCTTGCTTAGGTGGATGAATATTGGAGATTTTTACCACCCACCATCTATTTTACATGCACACATGAATAAAAAGGGGGTCAAAATAATCCCTCCACGTGGTCCCTCATATAGGTTGATGGGAAGAAGGAAATGCGCAGAAAGAAAATGATTTGACTCTCCTCTCATCCACGTGGTCCCTATTTGTTGATTGTGAGAGATGTTTTTTTTTGTCTCTTTCAAATAGTTTTTTGAGCCATTTAGCTCTTGCATCTTACACGTGGGCCTAATGAGAAGGTCACTTTCATCACTTCTCAACCAAACAAACCCCTTCTCTCACACGTAGACCATAAGGAAGGGATATGACAAGCTCTTCCTTTTGTGTCATAAACCTTACACTATCCAACAAAACAATAACCAATCCATATACACAAGCTCACAAAAGTTAACACCCCATCACTTTCCCTTTCCATTTGTAAGAGCTATTTAGCTTACTTAGTTGGTAGATGTTTTATGGAACCCAACTGAGCCTAGGTAGCCACACGTGAGTGAATGAGATGGTAAATGTCAAAACCCCATTCCACTTTGCTTACACGTGGTCAATAATGAGATGGAAAAATGCATTTCCTCAAATAACCATATTCCACTATTAATTCTGTTTATATGTTTTACATGTGAAACATATTGCGGATGTGTATGTTCATAGCAAAAGTAAGTTTCTCAACCCTTAGATGTAGTGGCAATTCAATTAATTATATTATTCGTTATTTATAATACGCCACCCCGTCAGGAGCAGGATGCGCCTATAAATAGGTCATTCATTTCTGTTTCCTCGGCAATCCATCTCAATTCCAGGAAACTCATTTTCTCTGAACGAGATAGGAAAAGGGGAATTCCCAACCAACTTCTTCTCGGCGAATTGGCAACTTCCAACCCCAAAATTTATCTTTCTTTCTCCTTAGAGCCGGCTCTATACGCCGCTCCCGGTTATTCCCAAGTACTGACTTGAGCTTTGGAGAAGGTCCCAGCCGACCACAACCGGCGGGTCCTTTTTTTACAGGTATTCATCTCGAGAGCTGGAATCCAACGACAATCAAAAGGTCAACGCTCTCCGGACTCTACAACGTTCGAGGTCGGCTATTTTAGCTTGACATCAACAATTGAGGCCCACCGTGGGGTTCGGTGAGATTACTACCTATAGATTGGCAATTCAACCAGTCGAGATGGATACAACGGATTGCAACTGCATGTTGAGATCGGTCAAGGTTCAACTCGAAACCCTGAGCAAACTTTGCCATCCTAAAGGGTTGAAGATTTGCAGGCTGAAATTGAGCAACTTCGTGCTCAGATTCGGTCTGCAATGGAGGCTCCACAACCACCACCGGTTACTCTACCAACTTTCTACGGGAGTACGGAAGTCCCTGGATCCTCCAACGATAATCATAATGGCATACCGACTGCAACTAAAGTAGCAGCCCGGGATGTCTCCCCAATTGTTCCTCACCTCGAAGAAATTCCTCCTGCGGGGAAGTTTTCTCAACCAAGTACCGGTCGTCCCCTGGCCTTGGCCATTCTAAATAAGCCATACCCGGGAAACATCCATATACCCAACCTTCCGAAGTACAATGGCACCACCGACCCAGAAGATCATCTCAGTTCCTTTGAGATTTTGATGCCGCTTATTGGTGCCTCTGATGCCACCATGTGTAAAATATTTCCCGCCACTCTTGGAGGAGACGCTCGTCGATGGTACTCTCAGCTTCGCAATGTTATCATTAACAACTTCGCCGAATTTTCCACACTATTTCGGTGCAAGTTTTATGCCCAAAAGCGACAAGCAGTGAGCATTAATTAGCTCATGAATACCAAGCAACGAGAGGGTGAGGATTTAAAAGCCTATTATGCTAGGTACAACACCTTGGCTATAGGCGTCACTTCCCTCTCTGTTGAAGTAATTGTCAAAACGCTGACACGAGGAACAACAAACAGTCTTCTCCGGGCTTCCCTCATCAAGAAACCACCTCGGAGTATGTTTTAGCTACAAGAGCCGGTCATGAAGTACATCGGTCTATAAGAAGCTTTACAAGATTCATCCTATGTTGTGTCAAAGTGTAGGAGGGATTTTCCTCCGTCAAACCGAGAAACTTTACAACGCCCCGCCCAACTTTGGATAACATGCCCAAAGCTCAAATAGATGACCGCAGAAGGGATGGGTCATTCAATTCAGGCCAAAATTTTACCCCACTCAACAATCCACGGAGGACTGTTCTCCAGGTCATTCAAGATATAAAGCTTCCGGTGACATGGCCACCTCGGGGTCGCATAAAACCAAGAAAAGGAAAGAACCAATTTTGTGACTTTCATCGGGGATACGGGCATGACACTGAGGAATGCAAAAGGTTGGGAAGATCCATCGAGGGACTGATTCAAAATGGGGAACTTAAGTTGTTCATCCAAAGCTCCAAAGGCTCAATCCAACAATCTTTGTCATCGGACAAAGGAAAAGCTCCACAAGGAAGTGGACCTATGTTAGGTGTCGTCCCAGCCATACATGGAGGAACTGGACTACGACAGGAATTGTCCACCTCTCGTAAGACGTATGCTCGAACTTTGGTTGGCTCCACCTCCACTATCTCAGATCAAAATCCTATCATTTTTTATTCCCGAGATCTCGAGGATATCGAATATCCCCATGATGACCCTCTGGTGATTAAGGCTACCATGCCAACTACATAGTAAAACAAGTTCTCATTGACGGAGTGAGCTCAACCGACCTACTTTTTTACCCTGCTTTTTGCTCATTTGGTTTTCGTTTGGATCGGTGTCAACCTTCCACTGTCTTTCTTTTAGGCTTCTCTGGCAACCACGTCCCAGTACTTGGAATTCTACCCCTTCATGTTCGCATCGGCGAATTGGCAACTTCCAACCCCAAAATTTCTCTTTCTTTCTCCCTAGAGCCGACTCTATACGCCGCTCCCGGTTATTCGCAAGTACGGATTTGAGCTTTGGAGAAGGTCCAAGCGGACCACAACCGGCAGGTCCTTTTTTGCAGGTATTCATCTCGAGAGCTGGAATCCAACGACAATCAAAAGGTCACATTCTCCGGACTCTACAACGTTCGAGGTCGGCTATTTTAGCTTGGCATCAACAAAAATGATTTAACAAATTTGCTTAGTGTAATTGGTTGTGTTTCTTATGTTTGTTCGATGAGACCACGGTTCAAATCACATTATTGATGTATTTTTTCATGTAAATAAGAAAATAATAAATGATTGTGAAGACGAATCTACACTTCCTACTTTCGCTATGGATGCAGGAAATTTAAAATGGGGTTCATGTTTCCCCATTTTCTTTTTATTAATTGTGTAGATTATTAAAGGTAGGTTGTTACGGTACTTGGTTTATATTTGGGTCGACTTTTAGAAGTGTTTTTCGGTTTCGAAAGCTGAAGCAGGGCCAAACACCTCTAAGAGCTCAGTTTTGTAAGCCAAAATATGCTTCTGAAAATATAAGAATATCCTTATCATATTTTAATTTTATTTAAGAAAATATAATTTACTTTCATTTATATCATTTTGAAAAATAAAATAAATTATATTATTTAATATAAAAGAAATATAACAAGATCCATTTTGACTACTATTTATTGTTTAGAATTATTTTATAGATTATAATATAAGTCATTTATAGTCATTTTATACAACCTCTCATATTAAAAAGCAATTCTAATAATTTTTCAGCCAAATACTCAAATGTTTTTTTGAAAAGTATTTCTATAAAAGTTAGAGATAGAAACTGCTTCTTCAAAATGTACATTATGCCAAAATAGCC